GACTTTGTGATTTCTGCAGAGGTCACACTTTCTGCAACCTCCTTCAGATTGTCCACTAACTCTTTTGGGTTCATGCGCTCTGTCTGAGTCATAAATGGATGTAAGGACTCTCCGAGAAGCGCGAGCGCATTCTCCAAGTAGTCCGCAATTCCTTTTGTGTCAAAATCTTTTTCTAACACACCTGCCATGTTTTCACTGTGTAGCAATTTATCTGTTTGAACAGTTGCAAGCTTTAGATATTTTACAGGTAAATATTTGTATTCAAGTCAATGAGTTTTCACACTTATTTTAGCTTTGGGTTTACACAGAAGTACTGTTATAAGTCACTTATTCAACTGTGGGTACCTTTCTCAGGTTTTACCCCAATTCATGAATATTTAAGTAAATGCCCTTTTTGCAGTGTTACTTTTTGTGCTTATTTTCCACAGATACTAGAGTACCAAGCTGTTTTTAGTGTATTTACTCTAAAACACTGAATTTTTTATAAACCTGCAAATTTTTCTTTAGTCTCACAGCAATATTAGTTTAAAACGTTTTTTAAACCGTTCTGTTCCAGAAATTTGCTATTTTAAACAGTTACTCAATCAACCCAGGTGGGTGAAAAGAGAAAAGAATTTGATGATGAGGAATAATCAGTCTTTCTTCAGAAAAACTGTCTTTGCTCCTGTATAGCTTCTATTTAAAATTAAATAGAGAGATATTTTATTTAGGTGGTAAATTAAACAGAAAATCTCTTTTTCCTGATAAATTTACTCTTATTTAGTGATTTTGCAAATAAACGTGTATTATCCTTCAAGCAAAATGAGTAAACTGTTCAACTCTGTGAATATTTGTAACTGTATCTGTTTTAAAAAGTTAATGTTTATTTTTGTACCTTATTTTTAAAGGATTAACAGTGAAATAAACTTTTTGGTGAATGCTTCTTTGCATAAATACCTATTACTTCTTAAAATGTAAGATAACAGTGTTTTATTCAGCTTTGAGGAAGTTTGTTAACTCAGAATTTGCCTTACAGAAAAATAAAAAGACGTTTAATTTCACTCTTTACCTAAAAAACGAAGTGAAATCTGTGATCTCACGTCTCGCCAGGAGATGTCAGTATTTCCTCAACAATTATAACTCCGTCACTTTTTGTGTTGTCCACTAGGGGTGCTAT